ACTGGCAAAAAGTCCCCATTTGTCCATATGATTTCTATTTGTTTGAGGGAATGTGTGTTCATGTGTACAAATGTAGGGGCAAGAAAAAGAAGATAGCCGACATATTTGTTGATGTCTTTAAATCATTAGAATATGTCCCCACTTTATTATCTGTCAGACAACCCAAGTATACACTCCAGTGCTACCACTATTGATTAACACTAGGAAATCATGCCATTTACAAGGTACTCAGTTTTTGCATCTTATGAATGAAGGCACTACACTGGATAATTTTTAAGGCCTCCTCAGAGATGGAAATCAGTAATTCCCTGTCCCTGAGCTCTTACGTCTCCCTAACTTCCTCTCTGCTGTCAGTGGTAGCTTTTTATTCAATGAGTGATAACGGCCTATGAGCACCACTGATTAACATATATAAATTTACTAAATACCACTCACAGAAGAGAGGAATTCTACATGATGAAGATATTACACGAGGATATTTTTAATAGTTTTCCACACTAAAATATGGATGCAATTATTCGTGTAAATGAATATGGATCATTTTCCCGATTCTAAAGGAACAAATCTTAAAAGAATTAGTTGAGATTTTACAAATTTCTGGAGGATAAATGTTAATGAAAATATTCTATGAATGTAATATAAATAGAATTCTTGTATAATGAACTTCATAGTATTTCCAAATTGTTTTACAGAAGAGGAATTCCCTTAGAAGTCAGATACCGTTAGAAACCAAATTCTTACTGGATGAGAGTTAGAGATGTTACATAGTAAAAGTTTCAAATTCTCAATTACTTATTAACAAGTGAAAAAAAGTATTATGAACCTGGATAAGGAAATGAAATAAGAAGTTAAGTCATTTTCATTCATATTTTCTTAACATTTAGATTTTGGATTTCAGTTGATATTTTGAGGACTTAGGTGACTAGAATATCTGAGGTGGAAAGGATAAAGGGAAAAAAAGATAAATGCTTTTTGATTTCCATTGGAAGCAAACTTTTCTTCTGTACTGCAATATAAACTGACCAAGTAGTATATTCACAGAA